TAGGTAGAAGATTATGTAATTGGCTATCTCGGTGATTCCAAAGTAGTCAAGGAGTTCGTTAGAGAATTTCTGCTCAAAAGGAGTGATTTTCGTAATCGAAAGCAACACGCGGTAAAAGATGTGAGTTTGCGCTCTGATGATATCGCTTGCATATTCGATCTATTATGGTTCAGGATCTCTCAAGTGCCCGCGGGGCACCAGTTTCGGGTAACGGTTCAGGAGGTTTTTCAGCTGTCCAGGGAAGAAAAAAGAAGAATAAGGTAAGCTGCAATCGGGTGGTTCTGGTTACTGTATGTACCGCTGCTTGTTATAGGGTGCTCGTCTTGTAGTGGATGGTTCTTGTTTGGGATTTCGCGCTACATCTGATCCGAACAGAGTGAATCAAGGAGAAATAGAGACTGTAGCACTGACACCAGGCCAGAAGAAGTAAGCACATGTGTTAAGCACATACCACTGTTCCGCATGAAATCACAGTTTATCATTTTATTCTCTTAAGTATGTTAATTATTGACCCCTTAGTACTCGCTGTTTTTCTCTTTCCTTCCAAAATATTGCATTGTTAGTTTACATGGTGAAAGGCGATGGTTGTTGGATTTTGTACCTTTGCTCTGGATCTACTTTACTAGATGTTATCAAATGGTTCTCTTTCTCTGAGGAGTGCTGCGATGCTAATATATTGTTTGCTTGTTTCTGTTTCGCTTTTAACTTCTCTGGGTTTCACACAGTTCTGGCGTGTATATCATAGAACCTTTTCTGAATGTTTAATTTTGAAGACGAGTTTGTGTTGTATTTTGCTCACAATCGTGATGACTGCTGTCCTTTTCTTGAAATAATAGCAGATATATTTTTATAAGATTGATCAACTTCTATCTAGTAAGCCTTACAACTCGGTGTTTCAAATTCTAAGCAGCACTACCACATGTCACGAGAGCTAGTCAATCCTCTTCAACTGAAAACACTTCCTCTTCCCAACATCGGTTTGAGCACAGTGAGCACTGCTGATTTATCACGAATGTTAGCCATCGCTCAGTTGTTTCTGTGGTTATTGCCAGACTCACCATAAATTATACCATTATCACTGCAGAAAATCGCAATTTGTGAGAGTAGAACAAAATCCGTCGTAAACAAATCGGCTACAGATTCTTTAGTGTGGTTTGCCAGTGTAATCAGACAACTGGCCGGAACATCCGCAGAACGTTTGCAAAAGTTCCGCCGGGTCACCTGCG